GACTTAACAATTATCTTTAGTGTTCTTTGAACTTGTTAATGAATGCTAATTGCCTGTGCACTATTAATGATTAGCAATGGCTGTAAAATACATATTGAACTATTGTGTATTCATATGTTTATAGGCTTTCAGTTACACAATATTGTTGGTGGCGCTTCTAAACATCAACCTTATAATTAATTGGTAAACATTAACTCAGTGATGGGTAAAATTTGTGTTTACTAAACACTAAGTCTCGTATTTCTATTCTTCTCATTTGGCGGTGTAACCGCCTAAGCGATATTGGCCGAATTCGACAAAGCAAGTCAGTCGTTTCTTTTCTGTGCAAATTGACACCAATTGGAAATGCCAAGTGAAGCCAGCGGAGCCGCTGTAGTTTAATTCGCTGCACTATGTCAATGTCGTTGTATGTAAGGCTCATCGTACCATCGTCTTCGGTAGCTACTCACCACCGTCGCCAATGCGTAAAGGCCCGTAAATCTTCGTCATCAAAAAGGGGGGGCGATCGCAGCTTTGGTTTTTACGTGGCGAGTCCCAAACCCAGCGCCCAAGCAATTGCTGGGAGGCGGTGGTTACTTAACCGAATACACGTTTATATAGCGGGCCGCTTGCTCCAAGATAGACACCCGCTTGCAGCTGCACCTATGTACTTCAGTGAGCCCTTAAACCGAATATATATATAGGATGGTTCTATCACCTTTTGCTAGAGCTTCTAAAATATTGAAAAAAACGCGATTTTTTAACACTTTGACCTCGTTTTTTTTTCAAAAATCTGGAGCTGATGGAAACTTTATGCTTACGGATTCGTATCGAAGTCTATCAAAACAGCGTTAACATTTGCCGTACAAAAATTTTTTTCTATTTTTGTTAGGCTGTGTTATCCATTAAAAATTAGCAAAAATTCAGATTTCCATTTTTTCTACAGAAATCTTTCCTTATGTGGTCTATAATATCCTGCCCTAAATAGGGGATTTAGTTATACTTTTGCAAAATAATTCAATGAATATCATCATGCGTTTGCATGCATGGGCAGAGAACGAGTACACAATGGACTATGTTTTCTCAATATTGATCGCAATATAGATGTTAATGTTGACTCAGTATTAAAAGAATTGTTATCTATGTATACACAATTATATCCAATGCTGAATACTCTAAATAAAACAATGATATTCTTGGTTGTAACGAATGACTTTACGTAAATGATTTACGAAAACTAAAATCAAAAAACGTTGTTGACATTACATGTTCTGAAGTTCTCAAACAGCCAAAGGAATTAGAATGAAGATTTCTTTAGAAAAATTTGACAGATCTGGTTTGGCTTGTAAGCGGTGTTCAAACGACGATCTTGCCATGATGCTAGATTCTTCAAGTGAAGATGAAAGTCAGGAGGCTACATCCGACATTTTCAGTCACTATGTAATTCTCAAAAAGAAATTCTTCTTATTCAGCAAAAAAAAAATAAAAATATAACTGAGAGTCCTCTCAACTGGCGTCAATCGAAAATAATTTAAATATTTACATATGTACTTATGTATTGTCAAATTTCACACGCAGATATTTGTCGCCTCGAGCGAGCAGTTATTTGGTGGCGCAGGTTTGATTTACGACCCTTTAAAAAACAGGCTGCAACCTGAAAAGGTAGCATAATGACTTTTTATTAAATTTAGTTTTAGAATTTTTGAATTCAAGTACTAAATAAAGTAAATATTATTAAAAATTACCAACTTTTTCATTTTGTTATTTACCTAGATCACCTAATTTACTTACGTTAATTGAGTATCTCGTAAAAATACTTGACAACCGCGTCCGCGGATGTTAGCGTTTAGACTTCCACATCCGTATTCGCATCCTCGGATGTCTAAAATTACACATTCTCAACAACTGGTGGTGTCACATAAAATTAAAAACATACATATGTACATATGTGTGCATAAAAGGATAACGTATGTATGTATTCATTTACTTTCATAACTGCCTACTGTACATACTATTGTTGTTGCGAATATTCGCATTAATTTTAACATTCGCATTCGCATTCGCAATAATCAATGCGGAGCTTTTGCGAATGCGAATATTGTGCAGGTGTGCTCATATAAAACGTATATCTGGCAAACAAAATGACAAATTGTAGCCAATATTCTTTGCCTGTGGAGATGCTACGTTAAAATTGTCCCCCAACGTCCCCCTGCTTTTGTAATTTAAAATCAAAGAGAAAGGTTCTTCAATAGGTCTTACCCACGGAAATGTTCAAGGTGTAGCTATTAAAGAGAAGCGACTATTTGCGCGCTAAAATATAACCTTTAATTAGGTAAGAATTATGTAACTATCGAATATTATTTGCCAATGGTCTTTTAAAAAAACTGGATGCATCTCTGGTTTATATTCTACTGTTTCTTGGATAAGTGTACTCATTTTTTGTTTCATAAAACGGCTTATGATTAAGTTCCGCGCTTTTTTTATTACTTTGCAGAAAAATACACCAAATAACTTTGACCGGTTTATCTATGCAAATACTCCTCTGTGCGTCCAAAAACAACATTTATTTTAATTTTGTGATAATTGTCAAAATTTACACGCAGCGAAATAAAAATCAAATGAAATGTGAAAAGTTTAGTTAAAAATTACTAAATTTTCCATTTTTTATTATTCATCTAAATTATTTCTTAAAAATACTTGACATCCGCATTCGCATCCTCGGATGTCTAAAATTACACATTCGCAACAATTCACTTACGTACACAAATGAGGCATTTCGTTATGTAGCCGATGAGCGCAAATTTCTAACGCAAGAATTAAAGATACAGAAGTATGAATAAAAAGCAATTTAAGTGCATTAGGAAATCACGAATTTAAAAAAAAAAACAGCTTAGTAGTAGGCGTACGTAGAATGAAGCGTCGCAACGTGGGGTACATGAGTAGTTAAAGATGGATCAAACTTCTGAGATTATTAATATATTATATTTACGGTAACCATTCGTACCGAATTTGGCGGGACAGTACCGATTTTGAGAAAATTGCCCTGCTGAATATTTTTCCAAAGTCGGAACGTATAAGTGTCCCGATTTTCCATATTAATTTAGTAAGAGTCTGTATTCCTGTTCTCTGGGTCAAAAATAATTTTTCGTACAAACTTGGCAGCTTTTTCGTTATCACAAAGGACATAGAATATAAGGGACCCATAAACATAGCCAGCATCCTTATTTTCTATGATCTTTGCTTATGTTTTATTCTGTCAAACTGGTACTATCGCTATATTCCAGACTATCATTCTTGTAAAATTTTCTTAAAGGTTTTTATAATTGTTTGTTAAGTTTTTTTTTTTAATGAAACGATTCTTACTTGAGTTTAGTGAAATTATAAAAAATAATAGATATTAATTCGTTAAAAAAATCATGGAAAACATAAATAGGGAAGAAATATTTTAGCATTCTTTGGCTATTCCCCTTTCGATTATTTAATGTTTATTATTTCTTTATGAAAGTATAGCTCGTTATCTAACAAAGACAAGGTAAAGTCCAAATTCCAAAATTTGTACAAAAATTAGCACAATTCGACAAACTTATTCCAAATTTTAATTTTTTTAATTAGATTTCTTAGAAACATTATAAGTACCGTTGGTTATTGTTTTTTTTTTCTTTGTGGAAGGTGTTGCTCTTTTCCTCCATACAAAAAAAATGTCTGAACATACTTTGTAGGTCCAAGCTACTACAAACTTGCACTTGATTACACTAATATTTGATGGGCTATAAAACTGCATAGTCAAAAATATTCTGGAAAATCTGAACAAAATGTTTAAAATTTTTATCAACATTTGTTAAAATTCGTCGAATTTATATGTATATACTGTGTGCGTACATTTTTGCGATCATTTTTCAAGTTTTCTTCTCTTTGTTTTGTTTTAAATAAAACTATATTAAAAGATGTCATGACTTTTTATTCTAAAACAAAAATTGTATGTTTGTATACAATGCTTCAGAAATGTCCCGATTTTTGGCCACAAAAATCTGGTCACCTTAATTATATTAAATGGGGCTTAAACTACACCCAGCACCCAGGAAAGTCCTTTTCAAATGGCTTATCTATAGAAAGTTAACGGCCCCTAAGAGTCTTTTAAGTTGAAATGAAGACTGCTTATTAGGGATGAATCGATACAAGTAAATCCAAGTACATACTCGATACTTTTCTCAATTTACCAAGTATTTTTGAATTCGATACTTTTTACTGCGATCCAAGTAGGTATCGAAAAAAAAGTACTCGGATCGGAAGCGCTTCAGTATCTTCTTTGAAAAGCATCCCATTAGAGGAATCAGAAGATATGCACACTACAATTCCGCAGCTATATAAGCAAGCCCGTCTAAATACATATATACAACGGTTGTTGGGTCATCTGTTGCTTTCGAGAGGCTTTTCTCAAAAACAGGTACAACTATATCAAAATCTTGAAACCGCCTTTATGTTTTTGGTAAATATAAAAAAAGGAGTTTTTTTCTTAAAGTTATTTTATATGGAAAAACTTTATCTATTAATCTTGTAAAAATTTATTATATTATTTTTGAAACCAAATATAAATAATTGTTGTCTTAAATTTTTGTATACAAAAATTTTAAAAGATCTTTTAAAAATGCATATTTTTTGTGAAAAAATTCAATAACTTTACACAAGTACTCGATACCTTGCCGATACTGAGTAGGTATCGATACCTTGTTTGACACAAGTGAAAGTACTGATTTGAGTAATACCTTAATGGTATCGAGTTATCCCTGCTGCTTATAATGGGTTTTAAATGAATCAATTCGGCTCGGATGGTACTAAAAAAATGAATTATTATTTTTTATTTAAGAGGTCCCATATACTTATGGCATTATGTATGGGATACAACATACTTCAGATGTCTGCCCAATTAGAAAGCTCTTTTAAAATATTTGTTTATTATGTTTTTAACTAGATACATATCTTAATTACAAAATTAATTAGACAAACGGAATATTTCATTACAGGTCTTTCACTTTGGGGTTGCGGTTTGACTGGCATGTTTGGTCCTGAAGTTCCACGATTTCTGGACACATTCCTGTTTGCTGCCTTAATTTCTGCTGTTGATCCGGTAGCTGTTTTGGCAGTTTTTGAAGAGATTCACGTCAATGAAGTACTATATATTGTTGTATTTGGTGAATCACTGTTAAACGATGCTGTGACGGTAAGTGAAATAGGTACCTACTATAGATAACTTTTGAAGAGTTAAGTCAAACAATAATCCAAGTAATAAGGAATCGGATAAAGTTATTGCAAGTGGTTGACATTATACATATTTTGAGCATACCTAACATTTCTTATACCACGTTCGGACCGACTTTGTAAACGAGTTTTGGGATTGTGGACTGAAGGCTGTTCGCATCGGCTGTTAGTGTTTTCGTTGACATTTCTTAAAAACTTTGGTTACAGTTTTGCTGAAAAAAAAACAAATCCAAAATCTTATTCTTTCATGAACAGCCGTTTTTTCTTTTATTCTTATTTTTAATTTGGCCAGCCAATTAACAATAAATCCGAACTGGCATATTAAAGATGATAAAATATGACTTCCGCTTCGATAAATAATCGAAAAAAAAAACTAGTGCAAACACTAATTTGAATGGGTGGAACGTGAGTTTCAAGTAGTTTTCAGCGAAAACTGGTTTCCGCTTGACAGATTTTACATGGACGAAAACACACAAGTTTTAGGTTGGAAACCAGTTTTAGCAACGAAAACATGTTTTCGATGTCGGTGCGAACATGGCATTAACAGAGTAATTAAAAAAACTTTATGGAAACGGAAGCTCTTTAGGTGCGAATTTCTTGAAAAAGTAAATTCTATAAGATTTTTAGTGATATTACTCCCTTTTTTATAAAAAGTTAATGTCCAAAAAAGTTAGTATTTAGTGTCACTAAAACCTTATATGTAGAACTCACTTTCTCAAAGTTTTTTAATTACTCTTTAAAGAAACAAAAGTGTTAGATATGGCATTTCCATTTCAAGGTCTTTTTTTATATTATTCTAGAAGATAAACCAACAACGTTTTGTAAAAAAATATTTAAGAAAATTCCCGCATCTTCTTTTTAAACAATTTGATAAATTTGTTAATATTGTAGGTCGTTATGTATCATATGATGGAAGTATACAACGAAATCGGCATATCTGAGATAATTCCTCAAGATATTGCCAGCGGCGTAGGTTCCTTCTTTGTTGTTGCCATTGGTGGTACTGTTATTGGTGAGTATTTTTTTTTTAACTACTTCAAATATTATTCCTTCCCATTCAGGGCCGGCTTTAGCAGCAATGACGCCCGGGGCGTAAACGGAACGAGGCGCCCTTTGAAAATGATGTTTATCAAATCGTTTTCTTTTTCTTATAGTATAGTCAACGTATTGGAAAAATAGTCGAAATTTAAGAATGCTTAATTTTTATTATAATCAAAATTTTCAAATATGAATTACAAAAAGTTTATCAATATTATTTTGGCTTATTATCATTTATTTCAATATTGTTTTTGAGCTTTGTACCACAATTACTTTGCGTGTTTTGGCTAGAGCAAATTTTTAGATGGTTTTAGACAAGTTAATCTGAGTGGCAATCTCGTGTTAGATAGATAACATAGCTAAAGCGTTTATTCTTTCTTGGGATATAGCAGATCTTAAGTAGTACGTCTTGATGAGCTTCGATTTCGAAAAAACCTCGTTCCCCGCTGGCAACAGTCACTTGCAAAGTCAACAAATCCTGATGAAAATCCAAACATCAGGAAAAATGTCGATGACATTTTTCTTGACGATAAATTGAAGAACTTCCAATGGCCGTTTGATGGCTTCAGATTTAATACGCTGTAATTGTTTTAACTTCTCATAAAGCTCCAATCCATTTAAGTCCGAATCCTCTTCAGTTGTACGAGCGGTGCTCAACTCCCGACATTTCGAGGCAAAAAAGTGTCTTCTTCTATTGAATCTGGAGACTCTTGCGATTGTAAGTAAGAAAATCGTGTAAAAACATCCATCGATTTTCATGAGTTTTCAAATGCTCAAATCTTTCCTTGACAGCAGCCAGGACATTTTCAACTAGAACAATGACAAACTCAGTTCTAAATCGATTTTCTGGTGTGAAAGATGCAGACTCATCTTGACTTTCGTCAAATTTCGTAACCAGCTCTTTTTTTTTTTGGATTTTTTTTTTTGTTTGTGTTGTAAAGTACTGTACAACTCTTCCGTTTTATGGCGTGGGCGTGCCTAATATAATGGTCTTGCAGCGAGTTTCAATTTTCTGAATTTGGTTTACTGAAGAAATATATATTTTTAAGCCGAGTAAGTCCTGGCAGAATTATAAGATATTAATTGCAGATTAAAATTTTATGCCATAAAAAAATTAAACGCTACCTCAACATTTTGCGTCCCCTCGAATTTGGCGACCAGGCCAACCGCCCCGCTTGCCCCACCCTAAAGTCGGCCCTGTTCCCTTTATTTAAAGTAGAATTTATTTCATTTTTGGCTTAGACATATTTAATTGTAAGATCAGATCTTTGAAAATACATATCTAAATCTAATTTATAAGTGCCCTTTGTGTGACAAAATCAAGGCGCATGCCACAAATTGGAGGCGAAGCTCAGCCAAACACTAACTTATTGTTTAAGCGCCACTCTACAGGGTGTCCTAGACTACCCGTCCACCCCCTAAAATGAAGAGAAATGTTTTTTTTTATTGAAAAACGAAAAAATATAAATTACCGAATCGGGGATGCTCTATCTGTTGGTCGTATTAGCGGCTTCCGGCTTCGACCGGAAGTGGATTAAACATTTTTTTTTAAAAGGATATGCATATTTTTATCACACATTCGGATTCTGTATCCTCAGAGAACCCGAATCTGTAGTAAAAACATGTATGTGTAATTAAAAAGAAATGAACGTCCAGTCAGTTTAACTCACTTCCGGGCGAAACCGGAAGTCCGTAATACCTCCAAAAGATAGAGCATCCCAGATTATGTAGGTCATATTTTTGCGTTTTTCAATAAAAAAAAAACTAAGAAAAAATTTTGTATTTCCTGTTATATATACAAATGAATTGGCTAGTCTCGCGAAAGGCTTGCCCGATTTCAATATATTTTTTTTTATTTGTACCCGAAAGATTTAAAAGGAAAAAAGTTAACAGGGTCGCCTCCAAACCTGTTTGAAAATTTTAAAGAGGTTCAAAATCGCTTACTGAGGAACATATTTTTGATCAGGGTTGCCACCTGTTTGTAAATTTTAATTCATTTAAATCGATAAAATAAATGTAAAATTTCATTAAGGGTGTGAAACTACAGAGGTTTAAGAAATTTCCTAGTAAATAAGACTAAGGCAATGTTCTCTGCGTTAGCGCTCTGTCACACTTCTGTGGCCCAATCACTGATAACTCTCAGTGTCTGGCTTGCCAGTGAGCTAATAGACATTAGGACATTATGATAACTGAAATGTCATTTGTGTGGCTGATCCTCCTGCCATGTTCCTCAGTAGGTAATTTATTAACCACGATTCTATGCACGACTTTTATGATTGCAAAAATTGCTAAAAATTGTTTCTTACATATTCTAATAGGCATAATTTGGGGCTTCCTAACCGGTCTAGTGACTCGTTTCACCGATCATGTGCGTGTCATTGAACCGATCTTCATCTTTGTAATGGCATATTTGGCTTATCTTAATGCGGAAATATTCCACATGAGTGGCATTTTAGCGTAAGTGAAAATCGTTTCACATTTCTCCAAGAATTGCAAACAACCCATTCTACATAACTGAAACCATTTCAATTACTCTTTTTACAGCATAACCTTCTGTGGCATTACAATGAAAAACTATGTTGAAGCGAATATTTCGCAAAAATCGCATACAACAATAAAATATGCACTGAAAATGTTATCCAGTTCATCGGAAACAATTATATTCATGTTCCTCGGTGTGGCAACAGTCAATAATAATCACGTGTGGAACACTGCCTTTGTGCTGTTGACTATTACATTCTGTTCGGTGTATCGTGTTTTTGGTAAGAGCTGTCAAACGCATTTCCATGTTGTTTTATATAAAATACTACGTAAATACTTACATGCTTACGTATAACAAATACATTATCTTCTACGACCGCCCTTTCTACATTTTTGGTCGGTCTTATGCATTTATAGGAGTTGTGATATTATCTGCATTGGCGAATCGTTTCCGATTGCACAAGTTGTCACGTGTCGATCAATTTGTTATGTCCTATGGCGGTTTGCGTGGTGCGGTCGCCTTTGCATTGGTGCTGTTGGTGGACGAGCGTATCGTGAAACAAAAGGATATGTATGTAACAACCACAATAGCTGTGATTTATTTCACTGTTTTCCTGCAAGGCATAACGATAAAACCGCTGGTGAAGTTGTTGAAAGTGAAGCGTGCAAGCAAGAAAAAGCCAACAATGAATGAACGCATACATGAGCGGGTAAGTTTTAATTGGAGTTCAAGCTGATAATTATGAATTGATTTTAAAAACAATGCATTTGCTTAGAACTTAAGCTCAATACTACATTCAGATAGATTGCGGATCTGTACACTATTTTTCTAGAACAGGTCGTTTTCCTAAGATGTTTTCATTTTAAACTTTAACATGGAAAATGTTACTTATACGCCATGTAAGAGTAAATATATGAGCAAATCTCACGAGTTGTTTTTTTTTTTTGAAGTAAAACTTCTTTAGCGGCGGTTAGTTGGTTGGGAGTAAATTGGCAAATTCAACGGAAATTGCACACGGAAATGGTGCAACGGAAATCGCACATGGAAATTGTGCAACGGAAATGGTTGGGGCTGAAACAAGTGCTTCATCAGTGTATGCACATGATATTAATTTAATAAAAACTTGCTAATAAAAGGTTAAAGAATAACACCTAGAAAAAGACCAATACAAGAATGAAAGCAGAGGTGAGTACATACATAGATAAAGAAAAGGATAAAGGCAAAGGTAAAATTAAAAACAAAAACAACGACGCGTAAAGATAAAGGCAAAAATGAAGGAGTAAATTTAAACACTTTACTTATATAAGGGCAAAGGTGAAGGGGAATATGTAGATGATAAAAATTATAAACATACAAGTAAAATCAAAGATAAATATAAAGAAAACGATGAGGATGAGGATACCGATAAAAGTAAAATTGAAGATAGAGGAATAAAGATTACAATAGAGGTAATTATAGAGAAAAGGATATATGTAGATAGAGACACAGAGACTCAATATGGGAACTATTTTGGGATTTTAGAGTTTTTCGGGATCCTCGGTACTTGACGATATAATAGTCGAAATTTTTATCGCACTTGTTATCGATTTTGTTATCGAAATTTTTATCGATATTGGTATCGATTTGGCTATCGATATTTTCGGCACTTATCGATATAATAATCGATATTTTTATAGATTTTGTTATCCATTTTGTAATCGATATTTTTTATCGATATTGGTATTGGTTTTGTTATCGATACTGTTATCGGTTTTGTTATCGCTATTTTCATCGATTTTGTTATCGATTTTCTAATCGATTATGCTACCAATATTATTGGGCACGTTCAGAAGGCGCAACAGCTCAGCAACTGTTGCGATTGCACCTTCTGAACGCGTTGTTTTCTACTTCTGATCAACAGAACAGTTGCTTGTTGATCGTAATATTTTGCTGATCATTTGGGACAACATGTTGTGTGTTGTTGAATTTGACAGCTAATGTATCAAGTCGTTCAGAAGACGCATTACGATCGCTGATCTTTTTAGCAACGGTTGCCTTCTGCACCTTCTGAACCTACCCATTATCGATTTTGCTATCGAATTTTTTGTCGAATTTGTCATCGATTTTGTTATAGATATTTTATCGATTTTGTTATCGAAATTTTTATCGATATTGGTATCGATTTGGCTATTGATATTTTCGGAACTTATGGATATAATAATCGATATTTTTATAGATTTTGTTATCCATTTTGTAATCGATATTTTTTATCGATATTGGTATTGGTTTTGTTATCGATACTGTTATCGGTTTTGTTATCGCTATTTTTATCGATTTTGTTATCGATTTTAATAACTTTAGATACTTCAAAATGTTAAAATTAAAGGATGGA